CAATTACACCGGAAGTTATCGACCGGAAGTGGATTGTACTTTCAATTGATTCCCCGTTTAAACCGGAAGTAAAATTAAATATTTGACAACTACATATTATTTGCTTTGGTGATGTTCCTTTGCATATTAAATTTCAGATCAATCGATGCAAAAGCAAAAAAGTTGCAAAAAAATTGAAAAATTTGATCGAAAAAAGTGAGCGACGAATTTTCGAATTTCGTAATTTTTCAAGTGCTATCAGGTCAGAAATTACAGGTATATTTTAAAAATGAAAATCCGAAGAAAATTGATGCAAAAATGCGCCTTCTAGAGCCGATTTTCGACTTTTTGCACATGTTGAACTGTGGCACTTCCGGTTTTGCAAAAATGTTCCAATTTATATTTATGCACATCGTCGCCTATATAGAAGGTCTATGAAATTTGAAACGTACCTGCAACTAGTGCAAACTAAGCTCAGGAAGGTGTGGACGAAACGAAAAAAAAAAAAAAAAAAAAAAAAAATTGACATTTCGATAACAATCTGGGACTTTGCTGAAAGCAAAGTCCCACAATAAATTGTCTGGTCGTTTTGAATTTTTTTGCACTTATTATCATTGTTGATCGGGGTCATTTTGCCCCAATTCTTCCCTACTTATACATGCATACCTACAACTATATCATTATAAGATTGAAGCATGCAGGTATCTCGTTTTAGACACAGAACATTGAAATGAACTAACTTTTACATACCTAAATAACTATCGCCTATAGGCCTAGAGTACACAACATTCCAACACAAGCATCGACATAGATGCTCGAAAACGATGCTCTCTTATCAATATCGGTGACAACTATACATTGTAATAGGTCATCTGAACAACAGAACCAAACGCCTGTAATTTGTTGTTTCTTATTAAAAAGAGCAGCAATTTGGTATCATATTACACGGTTATAAAACTGAATCTACGGTGCACCATATACGTCATTGTATAAATCGCAGGATGCCAGTATTCTAATATAGTAATATAGAGTAACGTAGCTTAAACCTTTGGTATACAGGAATTCATTTCATAGTAAACAATGCACTGGCAGCGCCAATGATGGTAAAGGGGGGGGGGGGGCCCCCTCTAGAAAAATGGTTTGCAAATCAAAAATAAGTGTCAGAATGAATCAAATCAATTCAATTTTTCGAAAACGTTCTTGGGAAAACCCTTTCAGACGCTTCACGAGAGGCTTGAGACCAGTTGAACCCCCATTTAGTCAGTTTGTGCCCAATTTCTAATTTTTTTCTGCAATCACAAGCCGCGTTTACACTTCCAAAAATAATCCGTGTGGAAGCCAGCCAATTTTTAAGGCAGTGTAAACGCGGCTAGAGACATACTCAGTGAATTACAACTCATATCCTGTTAAACAGGTGTATTAAAGGGACAGTTGCACTGGAGTCGATTTGAGTCTTGAATATATGTAAATAGTCTTCAGAAGTACAGTCAAGTAACCTAATTTCGTGCTAACCTATTTTTCGTGCATTTCCGGAAATCCGGAAATGATTAATAATTTACATGTGCGAACTAGCTTGACCTCCGCATTTGCTTGTTTCGATAAACATGTCTGGACGTTATGCTACAATTACAATCACAATCAATTAAATGTAAGTGCATTTCGGACTACTCAATGACATGATG